TCAAGCGCACCAACTATTCAATATAGGTGAAAAATTCAAAGTTTGTTTGTTTTGTTTTCGTTTGAGGTTGCAATTATATTGGCAAGGGAATTATTCTGATTAATATAAATTGGAGTTTACTTCGATGGAAAACGAAAATCAGCAAATATGCCAGTGCTGGTGATTTATATTACTGTAAGTGAACAGTTGGCAGCATGAAAAGAACCAGAAAAGTCACTAAAATTGCAGCTACCTGCAAGAAATTTTAGGTTAGGAACTATAGCCGGCAAGTGCAATAAAAGTTGCATAGATCGAATCTTTTGTAGATGTGAATTTTTTTTTTACTCAAGAACTGAACGCAAATAAAACCCTGAAGCTTTTATGGTGGCTCCGAGTGTTTTTGGACTGACAGGCAGGCTAACAACCTAAAGGTCCGAAGATCAATCTCCAGGCGCGCAGTTTTTTTGTAAGTTTTTATTTTTCTTCTTTTTTTGTAATGTGGAAGATGCGAATGGTTGTCTGTTGTGTATTTGTAGATGCGAATTTTTTTTGACTCAGGAACTGAACGCAAATAATTTTCAAGCTTTAATGGTGGCTCCGAGTGTTTTTGGACTGACAGGCAGGCTAACAACCTAAAGGTCCGAGGATCGAATCTCCAACCGCGCAAATGCAAATAAATTTTAATTTTTTACTTTTTTAATTTTCCTACTGTCTTCATATGGGCTAAGTAAGCTTCGTTTGTTTTGTTTGCTTCAACCCCAACCTTTTTTTCTTGTTTTTTGCGATGTGGAATTTGCGAATGTTTTAGTTTGTTTTTTTTTTATATAAGTGTGTTTTCCTTTTTTTGTAAATGTTTATTTTTTTATTTTTTTGTAATGTGGAAGATGCGAATAGTTGTCTGTTGTGTATTTGTAGATGCGAATTTTTTTTGACTCAGGAACTGAACGCAAACAAATTTTAAGCTTTTATGGTGGTTCCCAGTGTTTTTAGACTGACAGGCAGACTAACAACCTAAAGGTCCGAGGATCGAATCTCCAAGCGCGCAAATGCAAATAAATTTTAATTTTTTACTTTTTTAATTTTCCTACTGTCTTCATATGGGCT